GATACCTGCGTCACTTCTTGTTGGGGGTAGAATAAGAACATCTGTCAACCCAGTGATTTAAAGCAACTTGTGTCAATAAGAAAGCAACAACAGTTAAGCAAAACAACAGCAAAAAAGAAAAGTCAGTTTTTATCTGTTCTTCCTGGTGATGTGGTACCATTTGAGTTCTCATGACGAATTAATTTGTATTATTGTACAAAGAAACTAAGAACAGCTATCAAACCAATGCATATGTTTACTAGACTTTGAATTCATTTTCCAGTTAATTTTTGTGGGATTATATCTCTCCCATGCATTTGTAAGTTTGGAGATGCCTTAGTATGTTTAATACTCTTTGCATGGTTTTTTTCCTATGTACTTTATATGTGTGTGTGTAAGCAGATAATTGTACATGGATTTGTGATAGGTGTGCTCTTGCTCCTACTGTCAGAGATGGTGTTGCCCAAACAGGAAAAGTTGTGTGAAGAAATTAAGGATAAATTCATGTACTGTGTAGTACATGCAGTCCATACATGTCCATCTCTCTCACTCTGTGGATCCCTCTCTCTCAAAAAAGATATTGTTGGGTCATCCAAAGAGTGAATTTTCTCAGCAAGTTGCTCAAATGAGGTGGGGAGGAAGGGGATCAACAGAACTCAATACCTACGTTTTAAAAACTTTAAGAACTCTTTACTTCAATCATTATGAAGACAAGCTGTAAACCAGTAAACCAAATTGCAGGATCAATTAGGTTGGAAAAGACCTTTTAGACAATTGAGTCCAAACTGTGGTAAAAAAAAAAAAATTGATCTATCCTCAATCCATTTTGTCTTTGATACTGTGCAGTCTTATGTGCTCAAATATTGGTGATTGTTATGGAACAAAGCACTGGAACCCCATCATGGAAATTCTGAAAAATTATGGACATGAGTTAAGAAAACTCACTTTAATATCTTGATTCTTTTATTTTTAGAGGCGTAAACCCCCATAAACTGACACCACTGGTGTGCAGTCAACCATGGTAAATAGCTGTTGTAGTGGGGGGGCTTTTGTAGTACAAAAACCAGCAAATCACCATCACTCCATTTGTGCACATTGCAAGGATGACTTTTTTAGGTACACAAAGGTCTCAAAGAAGATGAGTTTGCTTAGATCTTAATGAATTTAATTTACAGAGCATCCCAGTGTCAAGTTCTTAAATTATCCTTTAATTAAAAGATTCTTGCTGTCTTCAGTTTGAGACTGGCTCTGGGCACGGTGACTGGTTGGTTTAGTTCTCATGAAGTACCTATGGAATGGCAGGGCTGCAGTTGGCAGCTGGGAGTGCCAAGGCAGCAAAAGCTGGCTAAGAAATTGGACTCTGTTTATATGGTCTCTCATCTTAAAATGGTCTCTTATTAATTTTTTTTTCAAGGAACAACTATTTAGTTTACACAATTTATTTTTGTACCTGTGTTAATCCCCTTTTCTGCTGTAGGTTTAGATTACTTTGAGGTGTAAAACCTGAGATTCTGATCTGTTGGTGTTTGTGTTCCTTCACACCTCAACTTCTGTGACAGCTTTGACTGGGTCCTTACCTCTGAATTGTCACTGTGAACATTTTACTCCTAATATGCTGATCACTGAAATCCCAAGGTGGGAAATATGGATTTTAGGAGTTATCAATACACCAGATGTAAGGGAGAGCTGCCCCAGGTAGAATCAAGTGAAGTGTCTCCAGTACTGGAAGCTGGAAGCAGGTTGGTTTAACCTGTGTGTGGAAGGAAGGTGCTGGGGCAGTTGGAATGCTGTCAGCACCTGAGCTATTCATAGTTACTAATTTTAGGGTGGACAAAGTTCTAGGACAACAGGAGCTGAGAGTAGAGAGGTAGGGCAGGAAAGGATCAGGAGCAAAAACAGCAAAACCCTTTACTGAGCTGTACTCCTAGCTCTTACCTTAATCAGTCCAGGAGCAACAGAATTCACCTCTTACCTAAGATACATCAAGAAAAATTAAAAAACCAATTGGATTGACAAAATTACTTTGTCTGATTTTTACCTTGGCTGACCTCTGAGCTAGGCTGTTTGTCTGAAAATAGGATTTTTTGTATAGTCTTTAATTTTCCATATGGAATGAAATATTTCTATATGAAGAGAAGGATAAAATATGGGAATGAATTCAGAATGAACACCTCTAAAAAAATTCAATTGCATTATCAGAAATGAAAATGCCAAGATCTTATACGTGGAGGAAAAGACAAGACAATCCAAAGGGAAATGAGCAGTCTGAAAACTCAATACCATCTAGTCAAAATTGTTGCTTTTTACTTAAACATTTTGATTGATACGAAAATATTAGTTTACTTGTCTTCTGCCTTAGTTTTTTTTTTGTTCAAGATATTGTATTTCTTCTGACTTTAAAATATATCTTTACAGATTTTTTATTTTAAACCACCTGTTACCTTGTTTCTACCAGCCAGTCAGGAATAGGAGATGGAAGTAATAAAGCCAAATTAATGCAAGTAGCCATTATTAAGTACCATTGAGTATTAAAAACACACCTCTGTCTTCCTTGAGATACAGTAAAACAGATGTTACTGTATATACAGCTTGTCAAAACATGCAAATCATTGAGCAGTTTTTGTTTAAAGAATGCTTGTTAGTTACCCCAGACAAAATAAAACCCTGTCAGAGTCTTCATCTTCATTTGTCATTAAAAATGTCATTTCCTTGTTGTTCTCTTTCATTGTAACATAACTGAAATAGATATGGGGGGTAGTGGTAGGAGAAGTACCGGTTTGATGCAATCAGAAGTGCAACTTTGCTGGTATTTCTTTCTACTCATACAATGAACACTTCCTGCTGTGTAAATGTACCAGCAAAGTATTTCAGATGTAAATGTGACCTTGTGACTCTATGAATTTATGTATATGTGTAGATTAAGCTGAAAAGGAACTGGGATGAGGGAGGAGGAGGAAGGAGAGTCAGGTGAATCTGGCTGAAGGATTAAGTTCCTCAATCCTACCCTTAGAGCACTGTAAAGCCAGCAGAGGTCTGAATGCAAATGATGCCTAGATTTGCCTCACAGAGCAAACCTGTGAGTTTGCAGGTTCCCTTTGGCTGTAATGGTGCTGCAATAATGTGAATTGAGATTCTTCTCCCAGTGGAAGTTCACCTGCTGACTGGAATGAACTCAGCACTGGTCTGCAGGAGCAGGGATAGCACGCTGTGCTCTGGTACAATGACCCTGAAAAAAGCACTGAGGGCTACAATATCCATTATATCCTTCCCTTGTGTTGATGACTGTGATTTCTGTAACCACAGGCCATCAATTTATCAATTAGAATACCATCAATTTTTGGAGCACTTAATATCATTAAACGCTAAGGATGGCCTAACTCAGATTCCTAGTGGTGGTCTTGACTACGCCTCCTCATGCCCCAGTAAATCCCACCACTCTGTTTGCACTAGGAAGTGATTCGTGTGCCTTGTTTTACCCTGGACACTCCTGACTGTGACCTGTTGGATGAGGCAATAGCCCCCAGACTGTTACTGCTGGTCTGAGCTGGACTAGCGGAAAAAGAACTTTGAATAAAAAGGCTATTTTGTAGTTAAGTGAGCAGATCAACAGGTCTCTGAGTGAGAAGGTGGGATGGGTAGGTGGTTAACTGCTGCAGCAGTGATGAGGAGTTTGGGCAGACAGGGAAGGGTAACTGGTTTCATGGAACAATGTAAGTTCAACAATACCTTTCTAATGCAACCAATTTTTCTCTGAACAACGGTGGAAAGTGTGATGTCAGATATGACATGTGAAGTATCTGTCAGTAAAGCTTTCACTACGAAGTATTTTGAAACAATTTTTTCCCTATTAAAATTTTTAGAACCCCAAAAATATATTGGATGTGTCTGGGTAAACTCTGATGCCAATGCATGAAACATCTGTATGAGGATCTGAACCTGGAAACGTGGAACAGATTGAAACAAGTGTTGTTTCTTGGGTGTTTACATTTGTGCAGTACCTGTGTGTGTTCTTGATTGTGAAATACAAACTCTAGAAATTACTGGGGAGCCCAGGTTTGGCACTGTGGCAGAGTTTGATCCTTGTTCCAGTATGACCAGTTTAAATGTCATCCTGTCAAGTGGATAAATGATGTGTGAGGAAGGGTTCTGTACACAGAATGTGTGAACATTTACAGAGCTAGTGGAAGGTCAAGTATTTGATTCTCATGAGGCATTCTGCTAGAGATGAGAGAAAGTCTTCTCAAGTACAGAAAATGAACAACTGAACTAAAACACCTGGAATATTTTTTACATGTTAAGTCAGATCTAATTGTTACTAAAATAAGCAAGTGCAAAGCGTTTCCAGCAATGAAAAGAATTACCCTGTTGGGCAGGAAGTGGCATTTATTCTTGCTTGTTATTATGAGGGAAAGATTTGATATTCCTGGTGACTATGAAGATTAAACCAGAGATTTATGTTAATGCAAAGGATTAAAAGAATTTTAATAACACTTATAAAGATGCAAATGTTCGCCTGCATTTTATCTTTTTGCAGATGAATGTGCCATAAGGGAGATATCGAAGGGGGAGAACACATCCTCACTCCAAATTGCAACATCTGGTTTAATACTGCTCTCACATGGTCATTAAGTATTAGTTGTTTTCACCAGTGTGTTTTTGAACAGTGGGAGTATGATTAGACTTTTTCTCCCTAACTAACTTATGAGCATGAGGAAGTAGGAATCAGCATCCAGCTTCAGACACATAGTGCCTGTTTAGTGTATGGCTTCATGCCTTGCAGATTTCAACAAACTGTAAATATTACTTAGTGCATTTTTTTCCTTGCTACTCCGTCACTTTCAGACTTATTTTCTAAACAGCAAAGGGCTTGAAATACTGGCTCCACTGTGGGATTGCCAGCTGTGTTTCCCTGGTTTGAAACTGTCCTCCCAGTGCAAACACAGGCCACACCAGCATGGAAAATTCTGTGCTTTATTTGGGCACCCTAACATATTATATATATATATGTACATACATTTTGTATGGAGAAATTATAGAAAAAATATGATTTGAAAAAGGAGGCAATTAAGGTGAAGGTGTAAACATCTGTTTATGTTCTATTTTGTGTTTTTTCCTGCTCTTCAACCAATTGTTCACTAACACATAAGTGTATATAAACAGAAACCACCTGGATTTGTTATACAATTCAACTGATGTGACTGTGGAAATGTCCCAGCTCTCAAATCAATATAAGTCTTCAAAAGGTTTTGAGTAGTTAAACATCAAGTAATCCATATAGTAGAAGTCGTAGCTTTGTTGTCGTTGGGCAGGAGAAAGCTGTGCAAAATACTGTTGTGTAATTTTAGTGGTAGTTCTTTCTTCATTGGAGTGCCGATCTTTAAACTTGGGGAAAGTTAAATTTCGTGGAGCACCAATTAAGTGCAAGAAAAAGTTTGCATCTTCTTCCATACTTTCGAATTTCCCCACGAAGTCGTAGTCTATTAAACACGGGCTGCAAAGCCTGTTGACATGATCCCAGTGTATATCCATACCCACTGGCCTATGTACATCCAGGAGATATTGAATGAACTCCTTAAACTTGACTCCAGAGCCTGTCCTTAATGCTTCTTTGGTGGCGTTGACCCGGTATCTGGAAATGATGGCTTTCCCAAACACCGGGTGGTAGTAGTTGTTTGGATGCTCAAACTTGTCCCGAAATGCAGATACCAGCTTTTCGAAAGGTTCACGAATAAACAGCATCTTTGTGTAAGTGTTGAGCCTGTGATAAATTCCCTTGTGATCAAACCCATCCAGCCTTTTCAGGTAGTTCCCGTAGTGCACGGTGTTGTGCTGGATATCTTTTGTGGAAGAAGCCAGGCCATTAAGCACCATGAGCACCCGTTTCCAGTTAGAGCAGCCAGCTTTTGGTACTTCACAGTATAAAACTCTGTATTTATCTTCTACAAATATCCTAGAGACATGATAAGGAGTGATTATTCTTCTGTTATTACTCTTGTATTTTGAACAAGTTTCCCTCATAATCCGCTTCCTTTCTCCTTGGATCTGATAGAGACTTTTCCACTTGTTGTTGTTTCTGTCCTCAGATTTGAGTGTGGGCAGGTTGAGAACAGAGCTGTTCATGGAAATCAGAATTGGGCTCTTTTTAATTATAAACCTCCTCCTGCGTTTATGGAGCCTGATGGCATCAGTTTCTTCACCTTTCTGTTGATCTTTCATAGCAAACATGATGCTGCTTTGCCTTCTGTCTGTGCTTTGAAGCTTGGTGGGCACACTTTCAGATGGCTCTAATGAGTTGCTCTGCTTTACTGGTACTGCTCCGTCTGCAGTATTTTTTCTTAATCTTCTATCCTGGTTATTGCTGGAAACACAGTCCTGATGAGGAAAAAGAGATTAAAGATGTTAGTAAACGAGAGACTGTCACCATTAACAGCTTGCACAACTTCACGTGGATCTTTCATACACTCTGAGTTCAGCAGAACTGTACAACAAAATGCATTGCCACAAACCCTCAGCACTGTGCCTGCAGTGTGGTAGGGGGCTCTGCTCTTGTCACCCTGTTCTGTGCTTACATGGAACTCAAAGGCTGAGATGAACCTGAACTGGTAATTTCCAGTTCAGAATTGGATTTAACTGTGTTTTAGGTGGCGCACCCAGACTTTCATAGATACTTTTGTCTTAGGTAAGTTGTCCTTGAAATTTCTTCAAAAGGTATCTGAGTATTTTGAGGACTTGTTTAGCTGCTCCTGTTGTCACACAAATCGAAGGGGTTGTTTGTTTGTGTGGTGTGTTTCCCACCCTGACCCCCCCACTTCAGTAGTTAATCTTTGCAGTGAAGGCAGTTTTGCACAGAGTGAAGCCTGAGAGAGAAGGGAGGAGTTTTACAGAGCTGGTAAGGTGGAGTGAAGATGTAAAGGGAGGAAGAGTAGGCAGAGGGAAGCAGAAAGGACTGCAGTGAGAACTTGGAGGGTTGGCATGCAGGAAGTGGGTTTTGTGAGGGCAGCATGAAGGGCACCCCAAAGGGAGCCTTGAGGGAGATGAGCCTGGGAGCAGAGCAGCTGAGACTTGATGAGAGGCAATAAGGGGTGGGAATGAAGCTTGGCTGGGATTAGGCAAGTGAAAGCTGAGTAAGTAAAGCAGGTCTATGGATAAGGGTTTCTGGGACCTGCTCTTTTTCATTAGGGGGATCTTGCTGGTTAATACTTCTTTTGGCTCAAAGCCCAGATGTGCTCCATTACTTTCTGCTTCTCAAAGCAGCCAAATTAAATCCTGTATAGTCTATGCCTCTAAGACTAAAATTAGGTCCTGGACACTGTTTAAGTACATGTCATCCCTGTGTTGAGGACACCTGGGAGCAGAGTGGCATATGAACCACCAGGGAGTATTTCAACAGAGGAGCAGATGTAGCTGCAGAATGCTTATTGCTGACCTAAGGACTTAGTGGTTATTTAGAGGTTTTATAGATTTAAATTTTTGATTTTCAGTCTTTATTTTTTCCCAGTAGTATTTAAAACTGGCCTAAAAAAAGATATTTTGCAAATTTTAAGGCGTACAGTATGGGGATTAGAAAGGTCATGCTCTTTCAAGGTGGTAGATTAAATCTTAATCAATTTTACAAGTCTTTATTGGCTGAAAAAAAGCCAGTGCTATAGGTAACAAACTTTTGCTGTCATGGAGGTTATATCTTGTCACATTCTTGTTTAAGGGTCAGACATTAAACAAGTCTCAGAAAAGAGGTTCAATGCTCATCACAAAAAGCACTGGTGACAATAGAAAAAAAAAGTGTTATTTTGTAGGTGACTTGCTTAAATTGATAACTTATACAAAACTCAAGCACGACAGATCAGTATTAAACACAAGTTTTAGGGTACTGTTGCAGAATCCAGGTTTCTCGTGCTGGCTGTGGTGGTGAAGGTGGTATGTGATGTGCAGACATGATAATTTCTCATGCAAGACACTATTCAGTTGTTGGGAGTGATTGTTGTACTCTGCTCTTATCTTCAGACATTGTTGCTGGTAGCCAAAGTGCATGTGCCTGTAAATACCAGATCTATTTCTAAATATTACCCTTTGCAGAGTGGTTGTAATTCAATTCCACGTTTACTCGTGACACAGCTGATATTTCAAGCTTATCAAATTCAGACTTCCTAGAAATGTGGACCTTTAATGATGCTGAACCCAGAGTTTTTGGGAAACTCAAATGCCATGATTTGAATGCCTTGTGTCAGAAGGCCAGGCTGGAGCTGCAGAGCTGGGGTGGTGTCGATCACGGGCCGTGGCATTTGGGGAAGAACTGGCAGCTGCACAGTTTTCCTCTGCATATTTTGTACCTGTCCTTTAACTACGAAATCGTGGCAGCTGTTCAGCGCCGACAGCCACTAGATGGGGGAATTTCACCAGAATTCTTCTTGAGCCTGTTTTTAGGTACCTCAAGACATTCATTTCATCAGTACCATTGCATACAGAATATTATTATAGGCAAAGTTTACAGTCTCTTTTAGCAATATTCAGCCTAGGAAAAAAAACCTCATAAAACTAAAGTTGTGTAGCTTATCACATTCATATTTTAAAAGGAAAATTTGCATTTCATGGCAAAGCTTTTGATGCATCTTTCCTTTTCAGTGCTTCATCTCTGGTGTAGTGGCCTTATCTGAGCCATCTCTATCTACTCCATACTTGGAATATGGATACAATTTTCCTTATGTACTTCTGAAAACTTACTTTTTTTGGTTGCTGGAATCCCATGTTATATTTTATCCCTAAACAAAGAAAGAAAGTAAAGTAATTATTTAGAAATAAAAAAAACCATTAGTTTCTTTTTTTGCTAGACTGATACCAGTGTGTCCTCTGGTAGCTAAAAGGAAAACAGGAACAAGTTTTGTTAATGCAATGATAAACAGACCAATGGTGAATCGTATTTAATGTATATTTCATAGTAACAATACTCCTTGGAAGGCCTCTTTATTTACAGATGTCATAAAAATTGTGAAATGGAGTGATTGTCTCTATGTCCCTTTTACAGATGGGGAAACTGAGATGGAGAAAAGTGATTGCTTAACCCCAGTTTAAAGGCCAGTTGCAGAACAAGAAAGCCATGGTTCCAGGTTAGAGTCCTAAAAAAAGGCTGTTCTTTGTGTATTTGCCAAAAGTAAATGTATGGTTTCTCCCCCTGCAACTTTGGATAGTATGGTAATTAATCATGGTAACATGGAGCACTCTCCTCTGCTGTAAAACCACAGCAGCACACAGTGGGGCTATGTACAAGTGAGGTAATGTTTGCAGACTTCTGGAGAGACAAACAGTACAAAATTGTGTTTTGTCTAATCTTCTGGCTTTCACAGTGATGTTTACCTGAAAATAGAATAATAAAGATGTGAAAATCCTGGATGACAGCTTTAGCAGGTGTGTAGGATCTCTTTACTCTTCCTAACCTCTGCTAACTATAACTTTATAATAGAGGAATGCATAATGGAAAACACAACTTAATTATGAAATTTGTTTGGGGCTTTTCAACTGATCAAACTGTTATCATTGCTGTCACTGTTGCTTGAAAACCTCAGTTTAATAAGTCTGCATGATGAATCCACAGCCTTTTGGACTTGTTACAGGTAAAGGTAACAAATCCAGGATGAAGTAAAAGCACCACTGGGATGGCTCAGTCCCATCAGGTTGATTTTTGTGGTACTAGGAAAGCACCTTGCAGGATAGTTCACATTGCACCTTATTGCAGTTAAAGTGGCTTAGGTGATCAGTCGTGCTTTGTCTTTTAAATCAGATCTACAAACTGGTATTTGTAGTAGAGCCTAAGTAAAATTGCTGTGGTTATTTCTGTGCTCTAAGAGCTCATTTAACAGTGTTCATGATGCTTTTGGTTTATGTTTGAGCTTTAACTCCACCGCAGCAACTTATTAGCAATAAACTCAGCTGAAGGTGGTGTGGGATATTGTGATTCTATGCCTACTAGAAGTAAAGGGCATATTATTTTTACTTTATCAGAAGTGAGTTCTAGACATCTTACAGAAGGAGTCTTAAGCCTTCTCCTACTTGCTTCTCAGAAGTGTTCAGCTGCAAATTAAAGTAGGAAGGTATATACTAAATAGAAACAGAGCTGGCCTTTAGCATCCTTCTGTGGGTTCTGGAGGATTCAAACTGATGCTTTTGCACCAGACTTTAGCAGATGCTACTGAGATGTTATCCAGTTCCTGATGTGATCAGTTGAAAAACCCACATTTATTCTTCTGTTGTGTGATATGCTACAGAGCAATGCAGGACAGGAAACTGCTGTCCAAAAAACCCAGCAAAACCTGAGCACAGCACTCTGAAAGCATTGATATTAGAGTGTGGGTGATCTGTTTATACCATGAGAATATTGTATTTTTCAGCAGATGTAACCTCTTCTGTCCTGCTAACCATAAGGGCATAATTTTAAGCCATTTGAGCTGCTTGGCCTTTGCTCTAAGGCATCATTAATTCACTGGAGTAGTTGCTTAACTCATAAGATGGGGAAGTTCTACAATTCTGTTCCCTTTCCAGAAGCATTTTGAGCTTTTAACAGTTGGAAACATAGGTGAGGAAAGACTTATCAGAAGGCAGCAAGTACCTTGGATGGAATCAGATACAAATATTGGAGCACTTGCTATGTCCAAATTATACTGTAAAAGTCAGGGTTAGCTTTTTCCAGTTGTGGTCATTTGTCCTGACTTAAGGGGAGCTGTGATACCTTGTAGCAAACCCACACACTCTGTGCAAAATATGTTAAATTTGGTATGTTTCTGCCATGACTAAGAATTGTTAAAAAAATCCCACAAAACTGCAAAGAGCAGGCATGAGACCCAGCTATTTTGTGGTTAATTTTGACTAATTATGTTTTTGTAGTAGTGTTTCATAGAGGTAACTTATTTGAGAGATTAATATTTTCTACTGATATGCAGTGCTTTAAAAAAAAAATAAAAAAAATGCTAGTAGGAGATGAGTAACCATTTAAAAAGATGTTTTTTTCATTTACTGGCTTTAAGATGTAATCAGAACAATAATTCATGCTTAATGTAAATGTTTGGAGAAGCACTTGCCAATCTCTTCAATGTTTTCTGAATTTGTGACATCTAAATTTGGCTCCTTTTAGCTGTCTTTCTCATGATACAGTCTGTCACTTCAAATTTAAATCTACATGAAAAAACTCTCTTAAGTGCAGTGAACTTGGGGAAGTTAGATTGCACAGATCTACTATACTAATCAAAATCCAAATTTAATGTTATGGAATGTCTTTACTATCCATGTTTCTTACCACGATGCTATTGCCAAAATGGGAATATTTCTGGCCTTAAATAAACCACTGGTGTCTGCTGCACCCAGTTGAGGGCACTGATTCAGAAATGTTTGGTGCCAGACAAGGTGATGACCAATATCTCAGGGCTGCTCAAACACAGAGAGAAGAGCTGAGAGACAGAATCCTTCTATCAGTTGTGTGTGGTTTAAGTTCTCCTCCCCTTGTGTGACCATGATTTTCCAGGCCTGAGCCTGGCCTGTATTTTGTATCTGCTTTTGTTTTTCATGAAATACGAGCTTCATGCTCCATCCAGTCCTACCATGTAGTGAAACCCACTGTGAGCTTTTCTTTCTTTTTTTTTCTTTTCCAAATGCTACCAGCAGCACAATAAAATGGCCTTTATCCTCCTCGTGTAACGTTATACAGTTTTACCTCTCCGCCTTCTCCTCTGTCTCTGCTTCAAGACCTAATTTTGTTTTGCCTCTGGTGTTTTTCTCCACTTTGAGACTCAACTACAGCTGAAATATTTTTTAATAAAAATGATAACTTCAAGTCTGCATCTGCAACTCATCCCTTACGGGGCTTCTCTACACAGTGTGCACTTGTTTGCTTCATCTGACTGGATTTGTGAGACGTCCTCTGGAAGGGCTGTTTCTGTCACTTCATGTGTCATGTCCTATCCACACATGCCCCAGTGTTAGATCTTTACTCAGAGACAATAACATGTACTTAATTGCAGAATGAGTAATAGGTCAGTACTCAGAATTCTGACAAGCATGAAAAAAGTCTAGTTTGAAAATGATTTTTCCCAAAATACTGGTCAGATAGTTCTTTTCGAGGTGTGGAGTTTGTTTTGTTTTGTGGGTGTTTTTTGTTTGTTTGTTTGTTTTGGTGTAATTTAAAATGATCTCTTAGCTTGGACAGTATAAAGGACATGCCCATATGTGATCATCTGATCCTAACTTACTCTGGTGTCCCCTTGTTTACAGATAAGAATTCAATTACTCATTAAAGAAACTTATTTATTTTGAAGATTGCTACCTTGTAAATGATTTGGTTTTACTTACATTTAAAATACAGATGTAGTGTACACATTTGGAATACTTTTGAAATATAAGAACCTCTAAAATGAAAGCATTTTCTAAAAAAATTGAGGCCTTATTAATAAAACAGACCTTACATGTGTGTATGTTTTAATTATATGCTATGTCCATATCCTTTTTCTACCTTAAATCTGTAGTTTATTTCATTAGGAAAAATGCTGTCAAAAGTTCCATCAAAGCTACACACCCAGGATCTCATTTTAATACAGATGAATTAATGAGGCCAAGTAAAGAAGGGTTAGCAAAGCAGTGGCACACCTGAAACTGCATCAGGAAAGAAGCAAAGCTGTCCAGTGAATCTGTATAATCTGATTTCTCCCCAGTGAGGCTGTGGGTGTGTGGGGTCACCTCCCACAGGTGGGTAAACTCCTACAGGGAATGCTTTGCTTTAATGATACACCCCCTTGTCAAAGGCAGGTTTGAGGGTTATTTCCTCTGCACAGAGCAGAAAAGAGGGAATGTTTCTGTGGCTGCTTCCCAGGCTCCAAAGCCCTCTGGAGCTCTGAGGAGTTAAGTGTGACTCTGATAAAGATCTTCCTTTCCCCCCTATTTTGGGAAGTCATAAGAAGTTCACCAAGCTGCCAAGGGTTGGGGTTTTTTGTTCTCTTTGAGCCTTCTTTCATGGGTGAGTTCCTCTTGTAAATCAGGTAACACATTTTTCCTGGGTTCTTAGCTTTTTGTTTCGATCCTACCACTACCAAACATGCAATTTCTAATAGTTTAATGCAATCTATTTGAGGGAGTTTGAACTCTGACTCGTGGCTTATTCTAAAGCAGTTGTGGTGAAGCAGAGTACTTCCCAGAAAGATAGCCTTGTTTTCCCCTCTCCTGTGCTCGTTTTGTGCTAACACACAATTACTTCCTATTGATCCTGTGCTTTTCAGTCCCAGTCAGCTTCAGAGGGGCAGATTTTGGAGCTCAGTGAAGCCATGGGTGTCATTTCCAAACCAGGCTAATCTGTGGTTCCACCATCCCACAGGCAGCAGGCACTGCAGCCTCGTGCTGCTGCACTTGTGTCTATGATGGGTGCCTATGATGGTAGCAGCTTGTGTGCACTTCAGTTGATTAAAACACGATTACTCTGGCTTTTTGTAACTGAAATGACTTTCCATCTTAATGAAGCAAGGGAGTCTCTGGACAGAGTATGTGGGGAAGGCAATGCAATTCTGAAGGGCATACCCTGGAAATAATTAAAAACATTCGGTTCATCCATCAGTTTGAACAAGAAAAAATCAGAAATTGGGGAGCCAAAGTAGAGATCAGTACACACATTAAGTGACTTTTAATGTTTGCCAAGTGAGGACTTTCATAGTGTCAAAAACTTGGTATTCCCAGTTGGTTTGTGGTCCCAGGAGCCAATCCTGTGAGCCTGGATCAAGCAGAATTGCAC